TTTTTTTTTCTTTTCTTTCCGGACTTTTTTTTCGGATTTTTCAGATCTTTCACCTGTTTTGCATTCTGTTCTTTCTTTTCTTTTTTTTTATCATTCCTATCATATTATCGGTGATACCGGAGGCACGTAAATTGCGTTTGTTCTCTCTTTTTTTTGTTTGTGCTGCCGAGTGCGCACTGCCTGCATTTCTTTTTTATTTCTTCTTCTTCTCGCGCGGTCTTTTGCGAATTTCGTTATATTAATTAAAAATGGAGCCCAACCTCATCATCCTTGATCCTCCCACATCTGACCCCGAAATATCCACTGCCCAAATTACGACCACCACTACCACCACCGTCACAACCACCATTGCCACTACCCCCTCAGCCACGGCTTCTGGCCCATTCCACCCCCTTCCCCCTATCATTCCTCCCGATCCCCTTCCTGCCCAAATAGCCCGATACCACCGGGAATTAGAAATTCAGTTTGAGTCCCTCACCCCCCGTAGTCAGTTGATTTTGTTAGATACGTTGGGTATTGAAAGTCGAGGGGTGTTCGACGTTATTAAAGATAGGTTCGTACGGTTTGAGGTTCGGAAGAAGTTTGGGGAGCACACGGCCCCCTGGGACGACGAAACGGATTCGATGAGGATGCCTATTACTACCGCCGGGTTTCGCGTCACCCCCGAAGCCGACGGGTCATTTACCCTTCGCCCTTCTGGCACCCTCCGGACGGGACAAACACTCGGGGCATATCAGGACCCCATCAGTTTCGAGCAACCGACAATTGAGCATTCTTTCACCCAATATCTGGACCAACCATCCCCTGCCAATCGAGTCACCTTCCGACAACCCCTCATTCCCACCCCAACAAACCTCTATCCTGGGCGACAATCAATCGTCATCCCCAAACGCCCACTCCACCTACCAAGTAGACCACCCTCAATTCCTCCCCACTAGTTCTCGGTATTACCCCACACAGACACTTCCCTCTCGACCCGTGCTTACCCCCAGAAATTCATGCCCAGTTTATCCTCATGCCCAGGACCCATTCATCCCACCCCCTCAACCCTCAACCCACATAACCACGGATCCCTCCCCTCCCGTTGGGTTCGCCCAAACTCGTCTACAGGATACGTATAGGGCCCCCTTCTGTGAAGAGACACAATACGACCTACAGACTCGGGATCTGAGGGTCAGTAACATTTTCAAGAGGGATGGAATCAACTTTTCGGGAACTCGCGAGGAGGATCCGTACAAGTTCCTCGATAGTATCACGTTGTGCTGTAAATCCAACGGATTAACCGAGACGGAGACACTGCGGGCTGTCCCCTCCGCGTTTAAAAGTAATGCCCACTCCTGGTATTTGACAGAACTGCCAAATATCAAGAGTTATGATGATTTCTTACGAGCGTTCCAGTTGATGTACTGTCCTCTCGATCAAGAGGAGAGTATCTGGCAGGATATTCACCAACGGTTTCAGGGCTTAGATGAAGATGTCGGGGATTATATCACTAGCCTTCGTAGACTATTCTCGAGTCTCAATCCCCCTCCCCCCTTACAAAGACAATTGGGAATTTTAAAATCACAGCTCAATCCGGTTTACTTTAAAGAGATGGGTCGCGATCGATGTACTACTATGGAACAATTCATTGACGTCGCGAGGTTAATTCAGAGAACCCTTTTCGACACGTCTCGATATCGACATCCCTCAGCACTCCATACCCCTTCACCAGCCACCCGTCGCCAGAACCCTAGAAATCGTCACTCCCCCGATACGAACACCCCACAAAATCATGCCCTCGGCGCTCAACCCCTTCGTGCCGACAACGTCCCTTTAGAACAGTACTCCAGAAACCCCTATCTTCCTCCCCCAGATGACAGATATCAACCCCGACACAACGCATCCCCCAGACAAAGTAACAAGAACACCCGACCCAACTCACCTCCAAGACAACCGACATACGCCGACGTAACCGGACGGACCTCTCCCCGCCCCACTCCTCCCTCTCCGCGCCTTATCCCACCCCTTATGAGTCTCCCCACAAACCCACCACCCCTAAACTCAAAACCACCCCCATACC